TTCATTTTTACATCTCGCTGATAGTAAATGCACTGGGTGCTGTAGGGAGACCTGTCTAGTCACACTGTCAGGCCATCTCCCTCTCAGTCCTCCTGCAGTAATATTTGAAGCTGGGGACAATTTTAGCCAACTTTGACACAATTACAAGAGAAGAACTCAGTAAGTCTGGTCAGAGGGGAAATTTTGTCCTCACTGAGGAAAAGGCAGTTTTTGGTATCTCAGCTCTGTATCTGTTTGAGGAGAGGGCAGAGAACTGCCCGTTGAGAGGGTGAGCCACTGAATTGTCCGCTGCTGCCATTTGGGTACTAACAGGAACTAAAAATACTGTTCAGGGAGAGATGGAATGGGGAAACATGATTGAAACTACTCCAGAACTAGGCTACCACTAGTGTCATGGCTTGTAGGAACACCTTATTGAACAGCTTCTTTGTAGCTTAACATTTGCAACTGAAGTAGTTCCTTTAAAGTAATTGAGGAAAGGACTTGGTGCACGACTCAGAAACTTTTGGACTTAGAATCACATTGTTTCCCTGTATAATACATGTTCTTTCCCTTGTTTTTATTCCAAATATCCTAACAGGAATCCAAGCTCCACATCTGGCTACACAGAACAAACATCTGTTTAAGTAGCTATATCTTCACTGTAATTCAGAGTGGGGGGCAGATTTGGAAGGAAAATGAAGCACCTAAATTCAGCTCAAGTCCAGATCTGCAACTACCTATGCTAGTTCATCACCTCCCAGAGGAAGCAAATGAGCCTTGTAGGCTTGTTCCTCTGCAGGTACAGGTGTTCCCCCATGTTGGCAGGACTGATCCAACCAAGGCACTTCTTAGCTCGGTGTGGTAGAAACCCAGAAATGACCATCTCACCAGGAAAGCTCACTCCTGCCAGGTTGCACCACATGAGGTCTAGGTATAATGAGCAGTCATCCCAACATGATGTTGGGATATCTGTGAAAACTACGTCAGTGATTCCTTGAAATAGAGAAGCCTAGGTGCTCAAAAATGCCAGCTTGACTTGAGTTGTGATCATGCAAGAGGCGTTATTTATTTTCTTCTTCATGAAATGAAGAATATTAGGTATATGCATTTCCATGCACTTGCAAGTAACAGTTTTGAGAATTGAATTTATCAACAGATGGAACTATTTAGGTTATTCACCTTGCTTCTGTGCTTTAAGTTATGAAAATGTAGACACGTTAACATTATGTAATGAACTCAAATAAGAGACCAATGTGTAATATACAGAGATTACTTGGCAGTGTATTCTTCAAATTTAAACTCCCTGTATACATATAGTAAACCTACCGGTCAGTGGAATCTAAGAGGTTTTTTCTAATATTATTCTTCATAAAATGAGTATTGTGTGGTTAGTTTAAGTCCGTTCTGAATTTCAGGTTAAGCTGCTTTGCCATAACATTGTTCTGTACATAAATAGGTGTGAGTGCTGATAAAAATATCTGGCTACTGACTGCAGTGCCTGACTTAGGTTTTATTAACAGAAATGCACAGAGTACATATTAGCAGAATATGCACAGAGGAGGACTGTTGGAACATACTAGTTTACCTGTACCCAAAATGAGTGAGACTGCATAGGAAGAAGCTTGGGCTAAATATGGCCAAGTCTTAAGTGGTCCATGATCTGAAGGCTGCTTTTTGTTAACAGTGCATCTCAGCTACACATCTAGAGAAAACCACTCTGTGCAAGCTGGATCCAGGCTCTGTCCAGACAGAAGCCTGATGTCAGTGCTGCAGTGGCTCTGTGCTTATTTTAAAGGCTGTAAGCTGTACTGCAAAGAGCCAGGCCCATGAAAATGTTGTCACCTAGAGAGGCAACATCAGCATTGCACTATCTAGAAGCCAGTTTATCATTACAATCAATCAACCTTGACAATGATTTCTTTATTAGTAGTAAGGGGGTGGGATGATTGTTCTTATGTTCAACACTTGGTTGCAGTTGTCTTGGTGAATCTTTAATCTGTCATGCAAACTTGCGTATTACTTAGTTTCTGATGATAATAGCCTTTTTACTGGTACTTTTTCTATTAAATGAGTCTTGATCTTTCTTATCCTTCCCATTCAAGCATCTTTAGGAGAAACCAAATATTTTGACTCTGAGGGCAGAAACAGGAGGCAGTTAATTCCAGATTTGAACAAGAATTGGCAAGTAAAATTAGACATTAATCTACTTCATCCAAGTTGCTGACTGTGTGAATCAGATTGTGGAAGTGGCTCATGCAGACTGTCTTGCCTCATAGCGTGGGTGACTGTGCTTGCTGTAGATGAAGGCAGGGGACAGGGAGAGGAGGGGAGCGCTGTGCAAAGCCGAGATTCTTGCATCTATGACGGTCTCACGCAAAGACAAATGGGCTCTTCCTGTCCCCTTATTAAATGGAGATGGGACTACTACTTTAATCTTGTTATTGTTTATCTTACTCGATTGGGCCTCTCCACTTTCCCCGTTGCTCGTGGGCCTGGGTTGTTCTCCTCCAAAGCCAGCCCTGGATTGGTGTTCTCCTTTCGAATTTTTCCAAACCAGCTCATTCAATGACACTTGGCCACATTGCATTAACAAAACAAAAACCATGTTCTTTCCCTCTGCCCTTTTCTTCTTCACTCACTTTGTCTGTGCCCTTGCCATAACTCCCAAGTCACCCTTCAGTGAGACGATGAACTTTCTGCTAACAGATTCAAAGGACAATAGTCACTGATTCACAAAGCTGTGTTTTGAAAAGCAGTATTTAAAATTACTGGTGTCTGTTAATTAAAATTTAATTGTTTTATTTTTTTTTCTTACTGTGATCAGTTATTCTTATTTGTGTTTGGCTCAGTGGTCGCAAAGGTCCTTTGAACCTGATTGCATTTCAGCTACAAACTATAAAGTTTGCCTATTTGTCTCTGCAGAAAGCTCTGACGACCTCATATACTATTTCGTTTTTCTTTCTTTTCCCCCAGCTTTTTAGTAATCTTAGAGATGCTTGCTATAACTATATATGTTTCGAGGAAATACGTCTCATAGAAGAATGTGATGTTCATTATAAGAAGGCTTTTCCTGTCATGACTGATGATTCCACAAAGAAAATATTCTTAGATCTTAATCTAGTTGAAAGATAAGCTTGCTGCTATTTTGTGGGATTTTCAGAGAACTTTAGGGGCAGAAAGGACTATGGAAATTCAAAGCACACTTGTTTCATCCTTCCTCTTCCATAATGGGCCTGCAGTGTTCACAAGGAATAAATGTCCACTTTGGCTTGTGAGACAGTGGTAATTTGCCCTGAATAAATTAGGTAAGCCAAAAATTCATGATTCCTCTGGGAGGTGAGGGGCTAGTGGTGCCTTTCTCTGGAGTAGCTGTTTTAAGCACAAGTGACGAATCAAGAGGTTTATCTCCAATGCACAGTGTGAAGCAACTCATCAGCAAATATCTCCTGCTACTTGTGGCCAGCCTGGGTAATGTCTCCACTGGCAGCTCTTGTAGGGATTTATTTAGCTCATGAGCATTACACTGCACAGCTCCTATGATATGAGAAAGTTGTGAGCATATTTACATGTTAGTTCAGGTAGTATAGTAGTAGAGGAGTCTGGCCATTCTGCATTATGCCTTGCAAATAGTCTTCTAGCACAAAAAAAAAAAAAAAGGTAAGGATAATCCTTTCTTTAGGTAGGCTTAAGAAAACTTGCACATACATGTGCAAGTATAGTTCTACATGTTTTTACAGCTAAAGTGAGGTAGTAATAGCTTCAGGCTTCATTGGCTTGCTGAAAATAGAATTCATGCAAACTTTTCCTCATATTTCAGCTACATATCTGTTCTGAGCCATTTGCCACAACCGTGGACCTCTGCTGAAGAAATCCTTCTAACTGTGCCTAATAATGTGAAAAACTTGATATTTTAAGCAAATGAAGCTTAGGCTGAAGTTATATATTACCTTTTCAAAGACTCACACGTACCTACAATCTGAGTAAGAGAATGTTTGTTTTATAGTCCTCCGGTAGTGAAGCTACTTTCATCTGAATATCTCCCTGATCAATACAGAATCAGAGTGAACTGGAAAATGAACTTTGTCTCAGAAAAGCCTTTCTCTGTCTGTTTTCTACAGAAATGTCCTAGGTAATCATGTGATGTCTTGAAATTATTTGGTCATAGTACAATCCTCACATAAGAAACAACATAAAGAAATATGTTTCTACAGTGAAATAAAATATCTAGTTCTCTCAGTTTATGCTGAACTTTGGCAATGTCAAACATGCCTACTACCAGAGGAGTGGGATGTAAGTGAAGATGGAATATATTCCATGCATGTATTTCAAATTCCTGTAATTTCATCCCTGAGAGGGCTTGGCTGCTTCTTGTGGGTAGGTTTCTGTGAGTACATACTGCAGAACCCCTCCCTGGGTTGATCAAAAAAAACCAAATGCTCCTTCATTGTAAATAATTGTTTTTCACAAATTTCATCTGCTAAAAAATATTTCAACCTGTTCTTGTCCTAAGGAATGAAGTTTTTATCACTGTTGAATATCCATATGTTTGCAGAGCACCTATATCAGCTATTTAGTATAATAATGCTGAGAAACTCCTCAGGACACTGAAATCTGCAACAGTCAACAGCAAGCCACAGTAAAAAGCAGAATACAGTAGGGTCCCATACAGTTGCTCCTAAGAAGCATCTTAGAAAACTGTTTCAGGAAGTGTGTTTTAGACAGAAGACATATTAGCTAGATGTTGAGAACCAAACCATACATTACTAGTACTTACAGTGTAGTTATTTAACAACACAGAAAAGCATGGTAAAACAGAATATTTCTTTCCTCCACTGTTCTTTGCCCTATGTTTTTTATTGAGCTCACTTAATTTTACTATTCTTGTTAATAAAAATGCAGATGCAGCACTAAAGCATTTAGGAAACACAGCACTGTCTACACTGCAGGCCATTAAATCTTTGTAAATCAGCCCTGGAATACCATACTTTCCAATATGTCATTATCTTTTTGCATGGCAGGTTGATTTGATTGCAAACTGTCTAGATGAAATCCCACCCGTGCATTGTAAAACCACCACAAAGTGTAGTTGGATGAGTCTTAACGGTTCTTGGCAATAGTCAATCTCTTCTACATCAGTGGCTTGTGAAGGTGTTAAAGTAAAGGACAGCTTCAAAGTGTGTAAAAGAAATTATTGGCTACTTATTTTTCCAGTGAGGAGAAATCCTTTTGTGGATGAAGAGGAGTTGAGACTCCCCAGGAATAGTAATATCCAAAAAAAATATCCACAAACCCACTGATGACTCATAAATGCCATTTGATTCAGCAGCTTCCCTGAGTGTCAGTTATCACACCATTAATTTCCTTTTTTTCCTTGTATTTAAACTGATTTTTAAATATCTTTAATTCCTGCTTAGCTAAAGAGAGGCAGAGGTGATGTGCCTATTCTTCTAAATTGGACTCATAACCATTTCTTGATTTCATTTCAAGTGTGTTAATGCAGACAAAGAGCAAAGCACTCTGCATAATTACTGGCAAAGGTGCAACACTTCACTAGATTTTAATTCTCAGATTAAATGTACACAACTTGCTGCATATCTTGTCAATATGTCTCAAAGACAGTCTTTTATCTGTCTGAGGTGTCCACGGAGGTCGTCTCTCATGCCAGGCAGCTGGATTCATCCCTTCATTCATCCCACTCTTACTAGCTACTAACCTAGTTACTCAGGCAAGTGCGTAAGAAGGTTTGATCTCTCTTCTTTTTTTTTTTTTCCAAGTTGGAAAACTTCCATAGCAACGTGACAGCCATTTGTGCCTTTGAAAGTTATCACTATTCATTCTTATTCTTAGATAAAGTTACAGCCAGCATTTAGTGCACATATACTATCTGTCATGGAGGTTATGATATTTATTAGCCAATATTCAATATGTGTGTCACTGAGAAGGGAAAGTGGGGAGGGCAAGCAATTAACCATATTTTGAATACTTAGGTACTTTTTTGTCCTCAGAACTTCCCATGTCATTGTTTTTCCCCTAGGTCTTTTTTGTTGTTGTTTTTCCTTCTGTTTGGGACTTTTTAACCCTAATATGTTCTTTCTTCTTCTACCTAATCTTGCTTGGAGGAAGCACCTCTCAAGTTACTTCCATTGTGCTTATATTGTTCTTTTAGGATGGTACCTGAGATTTCTCTGAATAGTTCTGCCCATCCTTCTCCAAAATCTTTAATCCCATGAAAGATCCTTCAGTAGTGGTTCCTACAGCTGGATTCACAGCTCCTTAGGTTATCTCCTGAGTTTGGTCCTGGATCTCAGGCAGACTGCTTGAAATAAAACAAAATCAAGATCACACTTCTTTCAGTCTGTCCTTTTCCCTCCTGGCGTGGTGGATCCAACGCATCTTCCACTAGTTCAGATGGTTTGTGTCTTTGAAATACCTCCTGACGTAGACTACTAAATTCAGATTACAGGCCATAGGAAGTGATGAGGTACTGCTGCCCTCTTTTTCTCTGCATTGGGGAACACTAGTACAGTCACATATCACTGGAGATTGTCCTCTAAATTATAAAGTTACACAGAGCATTGAACTGTAACTTTATTCCTATGTCTGTAGAGCCTGGTATTACGTACTTGATTTCTGTGTATCCTCTATTTTTAATTTTCACCTTCACAGAATCACAGAATGTTAGAAGTTGGAAAGGACCTCAAAAGATCACCTAGTCCAGCCTCCCTGCCTGAGCAGGATCACCTGCAGTAGGTCACACAAGAACACGTCCAGATGGCTTTTGAATGTCTCCAGAGAAGGAGACTTCACCACCCCTCTGGGCAACCTGTTCCAGTGCTCAATAACACCTCACAGTGAAAAAGCTTTTCCTAATATTTTTGTGGAACCTCCTGTGCTCCAGCTTGCACCCGTTGCCCCTTGTCCTATCATCAGACATTGCTGAGAAGAGCCTGCCTCCGTTCTCCTGACACTCACCCTTTACATATTTATAAACATTTATGAAGTCACCCCTCAGCGTCCTCCAAGCTAAGGGAGAGACCCAGCTCCTTCAGCCTTTCCTCATAAGGGAGATGTTCCACTCCCTTCATCATCTCTGCGCTGGACTCTCTCAATGAATTCCCTGTCCTTCTTGAACTGAGAGGCCCAGAACTGGACACAATATTCCAGATGTGGCCTCACTAGGGCAGAGTAGAGGGGCAGGAGGACTTATCTCGACCTACTAGCCACCTCCCTTCTAATACAAACCAGGATGCCATTGGCCTTCTTGGCCATGAGGGCACATTGCTGGCTCATGGTCATCCTGCTGTCCACCAAGACCCCCAGGTCCCTTTCCCCTATGCTGCTCTTCAACAGCTCAGTCCCCAAACTGTACTGGTACACGGGGCTGTTCTTTCATAGATATAAGACTCTACACTTGCCCTTGTATTTCATAAAATTTCTCCCTGCCCAACACCTTATTAAGTTACTAGTTTCCTTTTAAGGTCAAAGCATTTAATTTATTTGTAAATCTGGTTCTGCAGTAGCACTCTAAGTCATCATACACTGTGATGCTGAAATTCCCATTAGACTCATAGTCATCCCATGTTTTACTACTAGTACTACCTTCTGTTATTACACACTAACAATGCTCCTGAATAAATCTCTAGGTACATGTGTTTTATTTGTTTTAAAGAATGGAATGTTAGACAACAGAATAAAAGAAACAAATTATATTAAAAAAACCAGACCATGTCAAACTGGAAGAATTTAAGTATCTTTTTGCATCTCTAGAAACACCAACATGCCCCCTCTCACAGATGTTCAAGTCTTCCATGGCTCTGTTCTTTTATTTACTTTCACCAATTCATTTCACCCAGTTCAGTGCAAACAAAGACCTGATTGTCAGTAGTTTGCCGGTACAGGATAGCCTGATTCCCTGGGTTTGTTTTTGGAAATTATTACACTGCAAGATAGGCTAACTTTTCTTCACATTGCTTTTCCATAGGCTTTATTTCAAACTGAAATTCAAATTGACTTCCTTATATTACTCTTTCTTACATTATTCCTCTGAATTTTTAACAGCCCTGTTTGAGTTGGCCTATGAACTTTCCCATCCCCGCCAACCCACACTTATGGTCTGGCAGTCCACAAATCAACTCTCCAGTAAATGTTTAATCAGTTTATGGTGGAAGACTCTTTTTATGTAGGTTTCCAAAAAAGTTAGACTTATGAAAGTAGTCAGGTAGTCTGTGAATATGTGTCCGTCTAATTGTTGATCTATCTGGTATTTGCAACAGGATGTTCAAAAGCCTGTTGACAGCATCCCCCCTCTCCTGAAGCGTGATGAATGTAGGGGGCTGTATAGATGTCCCAGTGCAGCAGGATTGCCTTCTGACAGGAGAAAAGCTACAAGCTTTAGTAGACACACAAGGATTGACTCAGGAATGAGAAAGTAGAAATATTCAAGCTGCAAGAAGTCAACTGGCATGATACAAGACCCTGGAGAATTTGACGATAAAACACAGGTCCAAGTTTTGCCATTTCTGAAGCTCATGGGTTGCACAGTGGCTGAGGACAAAAGAGATGTTTGAGAGGAAAGTCTCGTCTTTTCACATTCTTTGCAGGGTCACTAGTTGATGTTTAGTTAGTTGATGTCATTAATGTTGATGTTTAAATAAGTCAGATGGAATAGGCTCTAAAGGCATCTATTTTGTCTTATCAGCTGTGAAAGCAGCTGGCTCAGGTGCAGGCATCTGTGTTGCAAATACTTATATGTGCATGCAGTCCAGTGCATCCCACTTCCATAATCTATCTGTAGGTGGACAGGAATAGGACCCTTTTGGAGGAAAGATTTTGTGTCACTACGTCCCGCTCAAAACTCACTGATGTCAGCTATTTAGGAGCCCTAGGTCTGTCCCCTACCACCGTGGGGACAAGGCCTGCTCCAAGTCACAGTGGTGGAAGCAGAACCAGCAGCAGCTGTTTATGTGACCATGCCAGTGCGCCTCATTAGCAGCTGTGCAACCCGACCAGCGCTGTCACAGCGTTGGTAGAGAAAAACACCTGGTCACTTCTACCAGGACTGTCAGTCTCCCCATATGAACCTCTTCTGATTTCTTTAAGAGTGTGACTGAAGCTATTTATTTTTGTAGAAAGACCTGATGTGCACTAACAGGTAAGCTTAAAGAGCATGTATTTCAGTACTTAGCCCAACTTGTTGCTAAATCACGTTATCGATCAAGCGGTTAAAAAGAGGCTTTGTTGAACTAAATGTGGCTTGGTCATGAGCATGCACTGCCATCCTTGCTGCTGTTGTGGTATGAATGGGCTAGGCTGGGCTGTCACAGTGTTGTAAGCTCTGCTCCTTTCCATGTTTGCAGGATTTCATGCTCCCACCACCAGGGATGCCGAGGAGAACAGCATGGAACAGGAATGCTCTTCCTGGCCTCAGTAAGCATGAGATAGCCGTCTCGGGCAGCAGGCACTGGTGGGGCAAGGCTGACCCTTTCAGTGTGGTGGCTGCATCCTTGGTGAGCCAACTGTCTGACCAGCAGATGAGTGAGGCACCTCTCAGCCAGTTCAGAGGTATGTATTTACCTCCTGCCCTGCACCCTTTAAACAAGACATTAGTCAAGGGTGACAAGTGGAAGGACGTGGCTAGCATCCAGGAAAAGCGCAGGTCCTTCCTGCAGAACTTCTGTAAGAAGTATAACAGCAGAAAGAAGCTGCAAACCCATCTTGTGCACCTGGTGTCAAGAATTTATGTGGAGGACAGGCACAAGATCCTGTACTGTGAAGTGCCAAAAGCAGGCTGCTCCAATTGGAAAAGGGTCCTCATGGTGCTCAATGGACTCGCGACCTCAGTACACAACATTTCCCATGACGATGTGCACTATGGAAAACATCTAAGGAAACTGGATAGTTATGACCTAAAAGGGATATACACACGCTTGAACACGTACACCAAGACTATATTTGTACGTGATCCTATGGAAAGACTGGTATCTGCTTTCAGGGATAAGTTTGAACATCCAAACAGCTATTACCATCCAGTATTTGGGAAGGCAATAATTAAAAAGTATAGACATAATGCAAATGAAGAGGCATTGAAAACAGGATCGGGAGTTAAGTTCAAGGAATTTATCCAATATTTGTTAGATTCCCATCGCCCAGTAGGAATGGACATTCATTGGGAACAAGTCAGTAAGCTCTGCTATCCCTGCCTCATCAACTATGATTTTATAGGAAAGTTTGAAACCCTGGAAGAAGATGCCAATTACTTTTTGCAGCTGGTAGGTTCTCCAGCTGAGCTGAAGTTTCCTAAATTCAAAGACAGACATTCCTCTGATGAAAGAACAAGTGCAGAAGTAGTGAGGCAATACTTAAAGGAATTGTCTAAGGAGGAGAGACAGCTGACCTATGACTTCTACTACTTGGATTACTTAATGTTCAATTATACATCACCAATTGTATAGCATCAGAATAGCTTCAGGCTTCTATTAGGTATTTATCATTTTGGTATTCAAAACAACCATTTTGATATTAGCCCTGAAAGGAAAAAAAGTTACTGCTAAGTGGAGTTGTCTTGGCTTAGTGGGGATTTTATAAGCTAGAATGATACCAATTGACATTAAATTATAGGAGAATGCACAAAAAAAAGACCTCTAAACAGCGTGAATTGCACTAAAATGCCTGAAAAAAGCTGCTTTTGCCATTATGGATTATACTGTGGAAGCAGTAGCACGGCCAGCTGTTGCATTGTCTTACAAAATGTTCTTTTAATGGTTTAAGAAAAAAGCACTCAGAGTAACATGCTTCTTTTTTGGTGTGTCTGCTTTATAAATTTTTTTAAACTATTTTTAATGTATTTTTTTACTTTCTGTCACTTATTAATAAAGAATTATTGGCTAATTTCCAAAAATGCTTGCAGTGTTCTCAGTTGCAAGGCTTGGCTGTTTGATTACTATTAGACTAGAACTGGCTTTAAACCTGGTTGGTTTTAGTGAAGGATGCTCTTGAATACAAATGCGTAAAACTGCAAATAACACAGCAGCTCAACTGCTGAGTGGAGTAAATTTGAGTAAGTCTATGATCTGAAATCCTGGTTCACTACCCCATTTTGAATGATGCGCTAGAGTTGACAGACATGACCTTCCTCTCAAAGAACTGCCACAGACATTAAAATGACATACTAATTTACAATGGAGTCAACCACATGAAACATACCATGAGCCTAATATTCAAGACAGTCTTCATCTTTAGTGATAGGGCAAAGTCTCATAGTGATAGTTGTGGGATATTATAAGGTCTGTACTGAGAAGCAGCTTCATTGCAACTGCTCTCACCGCTCTTGGTCGGCCAGGGTCCTATCACCAGCTCAGCTCCCAGTAATTGATTACACAGAAGGTGTATTGCCTCCCAAATCCATGGACTGGTTTTGTCCCCAGGCCTTCCTGAAGCCTCCTGTGTTTTGCTTTCCCTCCAGTCTTATCACCAGCCAGCAAACCCCAGGGGTGGGTTGGTGACTGGTCCTAGAGGCGGTTGTGTCCTGAGTCCTACAGTCCTGGTTATAAAAGGAAAAAGTACCTTCTTTCCTCCTCTTCCCTCTTCCTTCTCCAGTGCTGTCTGGCCAATGCATGTGGCCATTCCTGCCCCCTGCAGGAGCGCATGGCATGGTAGGATGGATGGCCATGGTGTCCTAAGAAAAGGACAAATGTCTGCAAAAGTAATAGGGAGAAATCCCTATGCCCTTCCAAAATAAAGATGACACCTATTCTTTGTTTCCTGGAGTGGTTTGGGGCATCCTGCTCCAGCATCTTGTTGTAGTAAGTTGAAGAAGAAGGAAACAGTCTGGCAGGAAGCTGATGTAAGTAAAATTTCCTTTTTCTCTGTTCCCAGCCACTGCTCACCACAGCTAGTGCTAGTGCTGTCCTTTCTCTCACCTGAGGCAAATGGATAGCTTCAGTTCTTCCGCAGGAGTAATTGTGGATCCCTGCTGAAAGGGAAGACCATTTCTCACACACTCACACTGCTTGTTTCTCCCTCAGTTTTCTCCTCAGAAGAGGGAAAAAGCCCACTAGCAGGCTTCACAATGTCAGTGTGTAAATGAGCAGATTCTGTGCGTCTCTCCTTGTGGCAGGACAAGCTGCTCCAAGGAGGAAAAGTAAAAGCATACTAGGCTGGAGATGGTGCTGAGTGTGACTGGCGGCACCTGTAGCCAAAGCCAGCTTGTGCCCTAGAGCAAAGAGGAGGAGAGGGAAAAAGCCCACAGGCCATCATCACCAGGAGGTGTGGAGAGCTGCAGATGTTCAGCGAGGATGAGGAGGTGCAGGGATGTCTTGGACAGGCAAACACACACGGTGTTGCCTGTGTGAGGGATTGCTGTGCCTAGATGGGCCCACAGGTGATCACCCCAGAACTGCCCCAATGCATACCTTTCCTCAGGTGAACAACATGTCCCTAAATCTCCCCCTTTAGGCTCAAGATGGTGTTTGACTCCCACCTTCCCTGGCAGAAATCCCTCCTGATTTTCCTGCAGGCTTTGTCGGAGAGCAGGGAGCCCTGGAACTGCACTGCCTAGGGCACTGTGGTGGGGGAGCTGCCTCCACAGCTGAGGGCTCAGCCCCTGGGACACCTTGCTGGAGAGCTGGTTCCTTGCAATCACTGCCATGCTGGACACCAGTACACTGGCACTTCAGTGCTGGTCACCATGATGGGCACCATGGCTGGTTCTGAGTTTCCATGTATCTTCACCCAGCAGGTTTTGGGGAGTTTTGTGCTTTGTTTTTTGGTTTGTTTTTTTTTAATTTGGCCATGCACTTTCGTGACTATTGCTCTCAAGTGGGGCTACGCATTAGGACATTAAAGAACAGGTCCTGACAGAGTTTTGGTCTTATGTCATCCGACCTCCTAACTTATGTGAAAACTGCCTTAGATTTCACTTGGATTTGTTCATGGTGTAAAAAGCATCCTTTCCACAGATGCAGCAGAGCTCTCTAGAGTCTCTGCTCTTGTAAGTATTGATTCCCACCTTGAATCCTGGATGAATCTTTCTTGCCTTCTACAGAGGACACTGAAGATGTTAAATAAAAAATAAATGTACACCAGCCTTTGATTGTCTATGTATTTGCTTTGTCTTGTCTATTGTGGATGTGTGTTAATTAATTGTTAATTTTCAGACAAAAAATTATTCATGTACCAGTATTTAAAAAAAAAGGTATGAGAAAAAAGTTTAACATGTTAATGTTAATAAAGAATGGAGGCAAATTTATATATGTTTTGTATGAATTCTTTAATTAAGAGAATTAAATCATAGTAAATGACAAAGTCTCTGAAGAACTTGAGCTTCACTTTGAACTTGCTTTAGTGACAGATTTCAACCTATCTGATCAGGGAATGACAGAGATTCGGGGGGTGATGTGATTCAGTTGCACTGAAAAAGCTGTTCAGTCTCATAAGATTTCATCTATTAACTGGTCTTAGATAAAGCTATTGTTTGAGCCAAGGGGGAGGTTGAAAGAAGGTATTAGCCAATGTTTGGCTTCTGCAAATGAGAGGGAAAATGACATTGATTTGCGTGCATCCATGGACGTAGACATAAGGTCCCTGGATTGTCGTCTTGGAAATCTGGTACAGTTTGCATTTGTGATTTAAAAGGGGAGGACACTACTTAAGGCCTTCAAAGCATGAATCTGCACAGAAGTACAATTGTTTTAGCCGCACTGTTGTTCTATGGCTCTAGTGAAAGTAATTTAACTTCTTTGTATGCTCAACTTCAAATTTCATAGCCTCTAACTGCACTTAGAAATTCATTTTTTGAAAATCTAACCCAGACTTTTGTAAAGAAGAGCCTCTCCATAGTAATCTTCAGTGACCTAAGGGATTCAGATGATCTCAGTAGCAGGATCTAGATTGTACTTTGCCTCATTAACCACATTTAGAAAATCACCAGCCTGCTTTGCCAGGAATTAAGTTACATGATTTAAAATTAACATAAGAGTTCAGCATAATTGAAGTGGGACTGTGATATCTGACTTATGGGATTATAAGAAATAAAAGCATAATTTGCAGCATAAAAGATAACCTCTATTTTTAAAAGTAAATTTTAAAAGGTCGAAGTTTGGGGTTGGGTTGTAACAACTTATATTTTGTAAGACTGTTATGCAAAAACAAAAACTGAAGGTCATCTGCTATAGCTAGTATAAAATCCCACCTCCACAACTGTGCACAGATGTTTGTTTTATTCAGAAAATTATATTGAGCATATGCAGAAGAGGAATGAAAATACACAGCATTTAGTGCAATTACACTTATACTAGACATCAGCTGCAGCATGCAGAGCCTCTTTTAAGGGGCTTCATTACAGTAAATGTTTTTTTAGTTATGAGCATTTCTTCATCTGAAGATCTCTAAGCACTTCTATCACAAGTAGGTTGTCAGGGCAAGTCAAATGTGCTATAAAGGCATTACAGTGAGACCATGGGAGAGCTGGAGGAGGAGGGGAATGCTCTCTTGGCTCATTTATATCTTCCAAATACCAGACAGTCATGCTCCTCTCATGAAGAAAACAACTTGATTTTTGGAAACTCATCTTCCACATTTCCTTTTCTTCTAAAATGAATCAGTATTAAAATAAAATAAAATTATTTTATTTAATAATAAAAATATTTTGAATTATAAATACATTTTTAAAATACATTAAATACCATAGGTGTACATTCTCAAATCTTGATATATTCATCCACATAAAGCAGCTTCGTTTATCCATGTAGGATTTAGCTTGCAAGGCTCTGACACAGGTATTATTACCCCCATCTCTTCTAAAACTGCTGGTAAACTATTGCTTGCTGGAAGTCAGAGGTGTGCTGCCCCAGTGCAATCAAGCATGGCACATCCTCTTCAAAATGTCTCCTGGTGTAACTCCCCCAAAAGGCCAAGTTTATTGGAGCTATTCTTGCCTCGGGCTGTTCTAGTTTGGTGATGTGTCATTGGAGATCGCCACTTTAATTTTAAATGTGGAGTAAATTTAAATGAAAATTACAACATGACACTTTGCACAAGTCTGAGAGGAGAACATTGTACAAGATCTTTGTATTGTGTATGTAGGTTATATATAAAAGTCTTTGTCATGCGTGCCTTCAGGCTAACAATACATCAGATAAGTCTTTTTAACTGTAATTTTAATACTAGTTTATCAGCTCTATAAACTGCTGTGATGTTTTCAAAACTAAATTAATTTGGCCTTCAGAACCCCAAGTCTGAAATCAGACCATAAATTACTACACTTCGTAAAAAAATACAGATGTGCTTGTCCTGTACCAACCAGCTCATTTACAGTTCAGAGGGCTGGGCAAGAACACCACACACGGCGAGGAGGGGGGATGTAACTAACTGACTCAGCCAAGGGAGGCTGTCCACGACCCCACGTACCTGTGACTGAGTTGCCATATGAAATGTGCTTATGTGGGAGGGTGGA